GCAGAGATTAAGTCTGGTTATTTTGCCATATTATCATCCTAATATATGAAGGGGATAGGCCTTTAAAAAGGCCTCTTTGAACGACCCAAACTGGCCCAGTTTTGGATTCTCGTTTAAGCAAGTAGGCGACAGTCTGCGCAGTCTCGCAAAACTGCCCATATCTCTCTACTCCGATATCGTATTGACAAACGATTTAATGAGTTGAAAATTAGACTCATAGATATTTAATTTGATGGGTGGAACACCCCATAAATCTAAGTATATTGGAAGAAAATCGCAGTTACATTTGACCCAAAGTTTCAGTAAAACTTATGAACGTAACTTGTGATGACTTTCATCGACTTTTGTTCCATCACTCGCTTGACTTCAAAACATAATACACGACTATCAAACGAATAACATAACTCGTAACATAACCTTCTTATCATGTAAAACACCATGGTCTCATCCCAAAAGTATATGCTATAATATTCCCAATTTGTCGGCTTTCGACGAAATATTATTTTCTTCAATTCCGTTAGCTTCTAAACCTTCCAACCCTCTTTGTACTTGTTGTTCATGATATTCAATATTTGTAATATCCGAGGTAACATGATTAACTTGCTTTATATATTTTCAAAGATGATCTCATTTTTGGGTCCTACATTACTTTGCTCATGATGCAGTTTTACATACAAAAAGATATAGGGTGTAACATCGATACTCGTTCCTTAATTCGGTTATTGTAATATATTGACTTAAAATTGCGGTAAGAACCCATACACTTCAATTCCTAGATCTACCTCTGTTCCTTCAAGTGGTTCAAAAATAATGTCCACGTCTCTTGGCTTTTAATGGCACAAATAGTAAATGCTAGGGGAAATATACTTCCATTAGCATCTACTTCAATGGAGATCAACAACTTAATATCATACTTTCCATAGACATGAGTGTCGTCTATAGATATTACCGGCCGACAATGCACAAAACTATCAATGGCTGGTTTAAATACCAGAACACATATCTGAATATGTATTCTGGTATTCCGGGACTCCGCTCAAGCTTCCATTCAACAATAGTCCCGGGGTTAAAGTATTGAAATGCAGCTATGTACCTGGGTAGAGCAACAAAGGGCTTATCCCAGTTACTATAAACAATTTCAAATGCACGTTTACGCCTAAGAAATGTTTTTCTTTTAGTAATGGTACATCCATATACCTGGTGGACAGATGTTATATACTCTTTGATCTTGTACCTTATGGACGCTTCAATGTGTGAAATCAAGACAAGAGAAATCAAGTCAACATTCAAGTTAAATTGATTTCCACTGAATGTGTCAATTTTACAAGTGTGAGTGCCAATGTATTTTCCCACAATCCACATATTTATTTTGACAAGAGTGGGTTGCTCTAGCTTCCAACCAAGAGGTTGTGAGTTCGAGTCACCCCAAGAGTAAGGTGGGGAGTTCTTGGAGGGAGGGAGCCGAGGGTCTATCGGAAACAGCCTCTCTACCCCAGGGTAGGGGTAAAGTCTACGTACATACTACCCTCCCCAGAACCCACTAGTAGGATTATACTGGGTTGTTGTTGTTATTGTTATTGTTGTTGTTGTTGTTTCTCGCATGCAGCATCCAATTACAACCTTGAAACCATCTACGACAAATAACCTTATATACTTCCGAAAATGTCTCATGAACCACGATCTCACGATACTCTTTTATGCTGTACATTCGCACCGCCCTTCTTAGGCATGCTTTATCAGCAAAAAGCATGCTCTTTGACAACACCGTTACTCTAGATTCATCCCACATTGATGTCCGAATTTCATCAAGATCCCTTGTAAGGGCATCCATATCTGTCATACTTGGCAACTGATCTAGGTAGAGAATCTCCCTTGAATGAAACGGCACATGGAACTCGTACACTCTTGGTCTAACGGGAGGTGGAGCATGCTCTCTCATCAAATCAGGTTCATCATTCTCGTCCTCATCATCATCACCCTCATCAGGGAAGGGTGTTTCATCTCCAGACTCATCAGCATTGTTGTCATAATCACTATCATCTTCCTGACTCTGCGCATCTGCCAAATCCCGATTAAATATGTCGTCTTCGGGTAATTGAGTAAGGACAGGACCTTCAAGTTGCTCGTTTTCACTGCACAACCAATAAAATAATGAGTTTCTAAAATTCATCCAAACATTACATATAAACTTCATCACTTAACTTACAAACCATAATGTGTTTATATCCTATGATGCACATTATCCTGTTGCTGATGACTCCCGGATGGACTACAATGATCTAACACACCAAACCTAGGCATATTCTAATTGTCCGTTAGTTCATAACTTATAAAATTCATATCTGGCCGGTAACCCATGTGAAATATATGAGTGTTAATACAAATTTAATACATAAAAATAAACATCATAACACAAAGAAAAATTAAAATTTACCACTCGGCTTGTGGATTATGTAAACTTTGGGAAAAATTATGTGATCGCTCCTCATTCGCCCATGGAGATAAATTTAGATCTGGCCAAACTCTTTCACCCGGAATCTGTTCGGATAAAACTGCTCCAAAAAACCACCCGATGATTAAGGGATATCCCTATTTTGCGGAACCTCATTATTGCGAACGTCTTCAGCCCTGCGTATATTTCCAATATTTTTATCACAAGAAGTTCACGGTGTTCATCCGGAGTCCTCAAAAAATCTGTCAGAATTTTATCGTTTTCGATATTAAACACAACATAACAAGCAACCCCTTGCAGAGTAATAGAATACGGATATCTTCTAGTTACTTTAATATTAACCGAACATTTGCTCACACTCATTTTTTTACCTAACAACGATACCAATCTATTATACTCCAATGTAAGTAGCAACTTCACATGACACTGTGGAGAACAACTATAGCGTACTGAATTATTCTCCACCACAACTTCACCCCCCAATATAATGAAACCTTAATTTTCGCTCTTCGGACATTATGACAAAATGTAAAATAACTTAACGAACAAATATTTCGAAAGATCTGAAGGATCTTGAATGGATTTTTACCAAATTCTGAAACTTCTTAAATAAGAAAAAATCAGTCCGGAGGTACAATTATTTAAAGTGTAGCGCATGCATAATAGGCGTTATATCTGTAGCGCTTATACTGCATGCGCTATACCTATATGAATTATTGGTAGGTCGATAAAGTGCAACTGAATTAATGGTGGGCATGAAAGTTTAAATATAGCGCGATAAATAACCGCGCTATATATAAAATGATAGTTAATTTTCTTTTTCACCTACTTTTATCGTTTGAATCCAAAAGAATCACGCTTTGATTCGGCAATCTCATTCTTGCACGGACACTTTTCCTTTTTTCGACTGTGACCAAACACAAATATTATGTAATGGCCTAGCAGTCTAGCACTGTGATAATAACGTGAATCAGAATGTCATCATCCTCGGGCAGCTGACAAAGTACGTGTATCTTATGTCAATATCAAATCAATATTGAATCTAACCTGTCCTTTTGGAAGCAAAGTTGTGAAAGAATCTATTGTCATCTTAATAACCTTTGGCAAAAGTCCTGAATGGTAAGGGCCTTAACCCTGTCTCCTTCTGATGTCCATTAGATTGTCATGGATATTTTTAGTGGTCCATATTACAATTTAAAACTTGGGCAAAGGGCCCAATAGGGCTTTCAACCATGAAAAATAGAACAAATTTGTCCTTATTGTGAATTTGGTTTCACAGATGCCTTTATGATTAGTGAATTTGTTCAGAGTTGCCCCTCAACTACGAGAAATAGAACAATTGGTTGACTAGCAAATCTAAACCAATTCACTAATGATACGGACACGTTTTGGATCAAATTTAAAATAAAGGTAAATTTACTCTATTTTTCATAGTTTTTTAGGGGCATTTTTGGCCCTTTCCCCTTAAACTTTATATCTGCTCCTACTTTTTTGTTTGACTAAAACAATTTTTTTGGAGATTGGTCTATGACCTATTACATTTTTAGTTACTTATATGACTCTTTTTAGTAATATAGAATACAGAAGATCGATATATGCAAACTTTTTTGTACAATCATTATTTATTTAATTGACAACTAGTTATAATAAGGGAGATTGGTTTGTGTTTGACAAAACAAAGGAAGGTAATTTAGGAGTCGTTTTGTATCAGGATTAAAATTTGGAAGAGTATTATCCCATAATAAAATTTGGATGACATTTATTCCATGTTTGGTTATGGGTATTAGCTAATATCGGTACAGTTTTATACCAGAATCTTAATATTAACTAACTCATGTTAAATATGGAATAACAAGCTTAGAACTATAACTAAACCCTAGATAACTCTCTTTGAAATCAAACGACCCCTTATGGTTTTGCATAAGAAAACATGGAAACCTTGAGGCATACACTTAAAATATTTACACTGTAGGGTAATTTAATTTGCGAGTCAATTACAGACAAAATATAATACATTATTGTAATCGGTGAATACTATTAGATTACTTGTAGTGATATCGATGTTTGGTTTTATGTTAGTTAAATTGCTATTAATAATATCCTTGGCGCGAAGTGAATCACCTTCTCGATTTAATATTTAGTTAATTAGAATATGTGATTTTAAAATAAGTAGTAAATAGTACATGTCTCTTCCAAACATCAAAATTAGCTTTAAGAGGAAACTTAAAAGGCGTATCTAAAAAACAATATGAGAATCGTAAAAAAGAAAAGAGTTACTCCACATTATGAGATTATGAATAAAAAAATATTACATTTATATTCTAAACATCAAAATTTATTTAAACACTTTCACATAATTTAAAATCACTTTACAAGTAAAAATAAAGAGATGATAAATAAGAATGATCAAACAAGTAAGAGATGTATTTATATTTCGACTATAACAACAACAACCCAGTATAATTTTACTAGTGGGGTTTGGGGAGGGTAGTGTGTACGCAAACCTTACCCCTACCCTGAGGTAGAGAGGTTGTTTCCAATAGACCCTCGGCATCCTTCCCTCCAAGAACTCCCACCTTGCTCTTAGGGTGACTCGAACTCACAACCTCTTGGTTGAAAATGGAGGTTATTTAAAATAATTCTAGTAACCATATTATAACAGGAACTCAAGCCAACTCGTGTCTCTTGAAAGAGATTTAGGGAAGATTGTTGAGACCTTCATTATATAGAACTCGAAAGGCTTCCATTTTTGCCAATGGAAGAGCCAAACCTATCTCTATTCCACCAACCATCTCTCTGCTTTCACATTGAGACACACTACCTGTTCTATCTATTGATATTTCTTCAATTTTTCTGGGTCTGCCCCACCCGAAATCCAATGTGTAAAGATCCACTTTAGGTGACCCGGTTACTGTTATATGGAGCCCCGATCCACGGAACACATTCCAATCCGAAATCCAATTTTCTACCCCACCCAACACATTCCTATCCAATTCTTTTATTGTATCCCCAATTGCTTTTGCAGCAAAAACTATACCATTCTCTCCCAATAACTCATTTCTCCTTGCCATTGCTCTACCAAATGCAATGCAATTACCTACATAAGTTACAGGCACTGGGTAACCCAACCGGGTTATACCGCCCGCTATGAAACCGAAATAATGGAGCTCCGTTTTTTCAATTGGATCTTCAATATGTTGCATGTTAGCTTTCAACCAGCACATCCAAATATATGAACATGTTATCACATAGGGGGAAAGAAGCAATTGGACTGACCCGAATACTTTCTCGGACCTAGACACGATCCATCCTTTGATAACCTCCATCTCGGGTCGACCCATTACAAATGTGGACCTTACCATGTCACTAAAATTATCAACTAGGAATTTTGGCAAACATATTTGGTTCCACCATTGTTTCCACAAGATTGGTTCAAGTCCATTAATGTCATGAATTACTGACCTATCATAATACGGTAAATTCTTGTTCAACACAGGCAAGTACAACTCTAGTCCCGTTCTAAAAATAGCAGCCCATATCTTCAAGAAATTGTTGAATGTCCTTTCATCTGCAGCCACGTGACGTAGAGAGAATCCAATAGAAATCCCACATTCAGGAAAGATAGTTATTTGGACAGCCAAAAGTGAGTACTTTGACTCTTGGTCAACACCTGGCAAGTCACAAATTTTTGGCATTTGAGGGACTAATTGATGAAAATCTTGAACACTCCTTTGGTTGTAGCCTGAGAGTTTGTTAAAATCAGCTGTGGACTCTGCTATGGTTAATGAAACAGAGTCACCTGAGGTGTAGCTAAGGTGTGGTAAAGCTGGTTGTGGTGGTATTGTTAGATTGCCAGCTAAAGGGAAAAAATATTGGAGTGTGAAAGAAAGGGAAGTTTTGAAGTTGGATAGAATTGTTTGTTTGAAATGAGAAGTTGTGTGAGGGAAATCATAGAAGAAAAGGGGTTGACTTGGGGAGAAAAGAAGCCAAGGTATGTCTAAGAATGTTAATGGCAAAATAGTTGATGGAACCGAACCTGATGGTGGCGAAACTTGGCAACATTCGAGCACCTTAATTTGCTGCATAGGTGCCATTGAGGAGTTTGGTTTTCTGCTAGAAGTTTGGAACTTTAAAGTGCTCAAAGTTGGCTTTAGCCTTTGTGCAAGGCAATAACTTTTGTTTGTTTTTCTTTTTTGCAAATTGGCAATGGAGTAATATTATTTTGTGGTTTGACCAGCCACTCAATTATTATTCCTGGAATCGTGGATATTTTATACTCCTTATGTGCTCTACTTATATTTTTTGAGCGGAAGTCTATCTAAAATTGTCTCTCTATCTATTCGAATAGAGATAAAGTCTGCATACATATTACGCTTCTCGTACCCTACTTATGAGATTATATTGGTTTTGTTGTTGTTGTTGATGTATGTACTTCACTTCTCTTACTTTTTCTATTCAAAGACACCGGCCTCATGCTTTTATTAGGATGCTTGGCCATTACTTCAATTGCAAATTATGAAGTCATTATTTGCAAGTTGAATTAGTCAAAAGTATTTATACATATTGCATTTTAAAATCTGAAATACTTTCAATTCATGTTCAAACACAAGATAAAATATTCTTTTTCCAACTCAACTAAGTATTATCCAAACGCCTCTAAGCTTCTTTTAAACTTGCTTTGATCTTTTTTCTTTAAAAGTATTTTGTCCATTTCTTCTTGTTCTCCAATCAGTTGTCACTTGTCAATATGTCGCTCCATCATACTTCTAAAATATCATCTGGCCTTTTAATTTCTTTCACATGCTTTAATTAAATTAAAGGAGTAAACAATGTCGCATCATGCAGGTAATTGAAGAAATATTAAAATGTTAAGTTGGTTAGACTAACAGTAACGCTTAGCACGTTTATAACGGGTCATTTCCACTGTTTGAATACTGTAGGCTTTTGCCTGAATGAATTATGGGTTATACCCCACAACAATCATAGTACAAATTACTCTGATCAGGGTTGTACCTCTGGGCAAAGGCAGGAAATGAAAAAAGAAAAAGAATATAAAAAGAAATGAATGGTCATTATTACCTTTCCCCCAATGAAAAATTCTACAGATTCGAACCTTACTTTATCCTTGATTGTAGTATCATTTTATATTGTTAATATTGTTTACCCAAAAATATGGCTAATAATTGAATTTATACGTGATTTTAACTTTTAAAAATGTGCGGATTAATTTAATACAAATGATAAATAACTTTAGATTAAACAGATAAATGATATAATAAATTGCCAAACCAATTAAGGGGAGTGATCCCGGGCTCAGTAACAACTTAGTGAAATGTCTGCCTTCGATCTCGGGCTCACAATAATGAAGAACTGATGAATAGAAGTAAGAATTTTGAATAGGAGAGAAAATAAGAGTATATTGCCTTGATATACGTGTTACAATGTGTGTTTAATGAATAGTAAGGCTCTCCTTTATATAGTAGGGGAGTTTTACCCTAAGTACAATTTCATAAAAGGTAAAAATCTTTCGTTTTGCTAATCACTGATTTTCTGCCGATACGTGCCGAGATTCACACCGTGACATCCGGTTGGGCACGGATATCACGACCCTTCGTTAGTCGTGCTCGATTATTTGGTAATGCTCTCCGAAGTTTTGGGATTCATATCGAACCTCGGGGGTGGCCCCGATTCTTCCGAGGGTAGGTGTTTTATCCGGACCCCGAATCGAGATGCTCCTTGCCCCAATTCTGGTTCTTTACGGTCATGTCTTTACTCTGTTTACTTCATCGAGAACCGAGGTGACCAACGGGCTCGGTTTCACCCGTATACAGATAGTCCTTTTGTTTCTCGGAGAGTTGGTTTACTAATAAAACGACGAGAAACGAGATATGCACTTCGATTCCTTCTTCAATACGCCGTGACAGAAACGACAAAGAATATGAAACGTCCCGTCAGTCGTGCCGTTATTAATTCAAACACATGTCAGCCACCGGCAGGTCATCCCTGAATGCGAAACATCGTGAAACCTCTATAAATACTTTCCTCCCTTGTTCATTTTTTACCTTTTGGCCAAGCTTCTACCTTCGAGTTTTCAGGATATCACTACCCTTCTTCACACTCTAATATTTTTATCTCTGTTCTTCAAGACTTCTCAGTAAATGCAAGTTTTTACCTGATTTTTACCCAAATTAGCGCACTTGACTTTTTATCTTTCAACCTTTCTTCATACTTTTCAAGCTTTTTTCATATAACAAAGGCTAAAACTTCCAAATATGTTCCCCAATAAGCTGCTTCTTCTTCTTCACAACCATCTACTGAAATCATGGAGACCACTCCCGATGTGGTCGTCCTCGAGAGGTCCGCTTGTGGCGCGGATACCGATGAATCGGTTGTCGAGCCTCCTTGAAAATGTTCGTCCCCAGGGGTTGTTCGGTTGCTGATGAGTTTAAAGTTGAGAAGCCCTCGTTGGTATAGGTCCGGGGTGAAGGAGTATCAAGGTATATATGCTCCATTACCAAAGACATCCTCCCAGCGGTCCGAGAGGACTGCAATTGAGCGGGTAAGGACGTAGTAGTCTCCGGGCATGCGGACGCCATCATTATCCACGTGGAGAGGTATCTAAGTGTTTACACTTATCCTTTTACATTAGGCACAATGGACCCGGTTATCTTGGATTTCTACCAAAGGTATGAAGTATGCCTCCGTCAAATCCACTCGTTGATGTGGAGAGTCGTGATTCTCCTTCGTTATTTCGTGAACAAGACTGAATCTCGCCAGTGTCACGACCCCAAATTTCCTCCGTAGGATGTCGTGATGGCATCTAATCTCTAAGACTAGGTAAGCCTATCAATGCAGAATAATAATAAATATCTGAAATAAATAAACTACAATTCAAACAATTTTAACTCCCAAAACCTGGTAAAAATAAGTCACAAGCTTCTAAGAATTTATTCTCAATGTCTCTATATGTCAAG